CTCTCTTCATTTTCAGAATTTTCCTGATACTGAAGTGATCTAGACTTGCCAAACATTATAGACTTGCATGGGCTGTATTTGATATATATTTGTATCAGGGTCTGTAAGACAGACTACCGGATCTTCAAAGGTCAAGTGGGATTCAACTGATATGTTAGGATGAAATAAAACTGAATTACATGTGCTGTTTACATATTAAAGTTTGCCAAATTGTTACAAAATTATTGGCCACAGCAAGACTACGTATTCACAACTTATTGTGGTAGGCACAGTATAACTCATGAGTCTGGACTGAGGGAGGGCCGTATTCCTCCTTGTGGGTCACCTGCTTAGTAATATGGTACGGGAAAGCTGCAGGGAGTGAGGGCAGTTAAGTTGATGGTACAGACAGATAACAGAGATCATTTTACAAATGTGAAACCTCATTCCACAAAGGAAGAGCTGAAAGCTGAAACTTAGTGAGATTTACAGAACAAAGGCAGTTATTTCTAGTTTCTTACTGACTCTCGGGGACACATTTATTAAAAATTCGTGTGTGCGACACGGCCACCAGTCACTAAATTTGGGTTGCAATCATTCAGTCTTCTTTCATTTGTCATCTGAAATACCATCCCTTCGTGCATTGTGCTTCCTACTCAAGTTACCAAACACCTCCTGTTTACGTACACGTGCAAGATATATATCACGCCGAGGAGAATTTACGATTATACGTTGATACGTCTAACTGCTGGCCTGGTACGCAATGTCATATTTCTTATCGCCAGGGATCACAGGTGTGATACCAGTCTCCCTCAAGGAGACGTCTGATTAAACTCTTTGCTTCGTCAATGCTTCGTCTTGCCCAAACCGGTAACTGGTACCACTAGCAACGATACAATGGCGTACAAAGACTTACAATGAGTCAAGCATCCGTCACTCGATTTCCATTTTGATTGATTGTTTGATTGTTTGATTGATAGATTGATAGATTGATAGATTGTGAGTGAGTGAGTGAGTGAGTGAGTGAGTGTTCCACTGGTATGTCCGGATCTGGGTACGGGTCCCCGGCTTAGCGTCACCGATCTAGATATATCTATGCAGAAATAGGTCATCCATGCGGATAGGGTAATCTTGATTAATGTATTCAGGAACCTTTCGTGAACAACATTTATTGAAAATGCTACCGAAGAATCAAACAACTTTAAGATTTGGCTTCTGTGGTGGAATTATTCTAATATTTCACATAACCGTTAACGTATTTCTTGAATGTTGTCACGCCATTCATTCAGACAGATCTCGAAGATATGTTAATATCTATGCGAGGACAGCGGATTAGATATCGCGAGGCCGGTTCACAATCTGTAAAAGCCTGTGATATGCCATGAATAGCCCATTGCATCTCGTATATTCGGTACTCCACACAGAGATTAACGAAGGGCATCTATTTGATCAGGGGTTATTTAAATATCTATAACAGCTGTGTGTCAGTATATCCAGTTTCTGTCAGTGCAGAAAAAATACCAAGTCGGTCAGCTGTGAACACGGTTCTTCAGCATCGGACAACAGCTGTCCTTGACACGCACATTTCAGCGCATTTGAAGCTACTAAGAATGCCCCCTGCAGAGTTGGACGAACATTCTGTGGTAGCGCTCGCGGCGGTGTTGACCAGAGGCTATCAGCAGTATTTCCTGTCCAGGTTATTTAGGTCCGTTGTGTGTGTGTGTGTGTGTGTGTGTGTGTGTGTGTGTGTGTGTGTGTGTGTGTGTGTGTGTGTGTGTTCGGGCGTGCGTGCGTGCGCGTGTGTCGGAGGGGGGGGGGGGGCGTGGGGGGTGAGAACGGGGGGATAGAATGATGGATTTAACAACAAGTAAGGTCATCTTGAGCGGGACGGTTTTCGTAGGAAATAGATGGATTAGCATTATGAACTATGATTCTCTTTAGGTAGAAAAAGATCCACGATGTTCGACCTGGTAGAAGTGTTAATCAAACCGCACAGCATTGGTCTTTGATTGACTGTGGCGTCAAAACAAACTCATTCATGTACTTGATCTGAATGTTAATCTTAATTGTTATGGATAGTCACGGAACCGTGATCCAGAGAACAGGGTGTCATTAGATAAAAATGAAGTAATAATAGGATTACCAGAAAAACGGGGTATAACACCCAAGCCAATAACCTCCCCCAAGGAACACCAGAGTAAGTCAGTACAAGATTGAAAACTGCCACATAAGTATGTATGACAGGCTAGTCGGGTATTGCTACTTGTATATGTGAAAACAAAGTTATTAAAATTAATAGCAAAACTGATGAAAGTCACCAATAAACGTGTATAAGTGTTACATCGTCACTGCAAAAATAATGAGTGTTGTCTTTAGTATTAACATTCAAATACGCGATATCTATATTAGCGATATTGTCTACGTTCCGCCGGTGAGTAAGCGTTAGGCTTACTATCTCGTAGTATAAATGTTGCAAGAAATTGTATTTCTGAAGACATCACGATACAGTTTTTTACGATGCATCACGTCTGCACCAGCGTTTGATAACAGCCTTGTGTTTGGGTGTTCAGTAGTTTAAATTGCTGTTCTTGATGTTGTTGAATAAACTTTGATACTATGAACAATATAAGGTTATATGAGAGTATGACTTTAGAATGGTAACATGCGTTAATGTATATCTGATATAAATATATATATATATATAATAGGATGACATAAATAGAACAATGAGTAGTACGTCCAGATTGGTGTATAGGCAACATTTAAAAGTAGATGAAAGAACACAATCGTCCGGAATACAATGTATGATTCTAGTGCACTTCCATGTGACTATATAGCATACAATAAGCTATCGGGTCCCGTTTGGGTCGGTTTGGGTGGCAGCTTAGATATCCATAGAGTAGGTTCATCTCGGAATCTCCCATATAACTGGGGCTCCTCTTCAATTTAAATGTAGTTACTTGTTTCTTTCAAAACTATACAGTTTTAGAGACTAAGCATTAGTCTGAATAGATATCTCCAGTTTGGAATTTGAAACTAATCTGTTTACAGTAACAGAACACTGTTTAAGTGTCATGTACAAATGAGAAAGTGGAATCCCGTCAATTAGGCGGACGAACCTTAACATTGTTAATAAACATTAAAATAAGCAATATCGGGAAAATGTATATGCATATACTATCTGGCAATAAACACCAAGATCACCTTCTACAAAAATAAGTTTTAAAAGCCGGTTGATATTCTTTTGCGTATTTGACGATTATATAACTTTCGAAAGTATAAATCCTTTTCCTATACTCAGTCGTTCCTGAGCCTTGCGCTTTCCTAATTATTTTGACTAAAATTATTACTGTTATCATTGTATTTGTTAATGGGAAATACGCGCCGATCAAGTACGTGCCATAAATTAAAGCGACATTGTACGATTCCGAATTCATCACGAGACCGTGTTTATGAATCACTGTCAAATAGTGGTGACATATAGAGGAAACAATACGCGAAATCGCGCATGCACAGAACGGAAAATTTGGACAAGGCATTAAGCAATCCGCATGCGTAGAACGATTGATTTCAGTACTTCCTCTAAACGCTTCGAGTACAGCGTCAAACTCGGACCTGTAATCTAACACGCGAGAACTGACCAATGAAATCTGAGAAGTAGGAATACCGGTAGACGCTGTTGCTTGATTGACAAGGCCAATCAAGAAAGGGAGGAGCTTGATGATGTCGTTCTCTCCCAGTAAATTCCGATGTCAAATAACGACGTTATTTGGACGGAAAAACGATGGTTTGAAAGCGTCCAAATAACGTCGTTTTTCCGTCCAATGACCATATACGGAAAAAAACGACGTTTTCGTGTTTGCAGTGATGCATGTGATGCTTTAACAAGTTCGCGATATAGAAGAACATGTACATGCCCTGACTGATGCAGATACAACCTGTAAGTATGGATCATGTGATGCTTTAACAAGTTCGTGATATAGATGAACATGTACATGCCCTGACTGATGCAGATACAACCTGTAAGTATGGATCATGTGATGCTTTAACAAGTTCCCGATATAGATGAACATGTACATGCCCTGACTGATGCAGATACAACCTGTAAGTATGGATCATGTGATGCTTTAACAAGTTCGTGATATAGATGAACATGTACATGTCCTGACTGATGCAGATACAACCTGTAAGTATGGATCATGTGATGCTTTAACAAGTTCGTGATATAGAAGAACATGTACATGTCCTGACTGATGCAGATACAACCTGTAAGTATGGATCATGTGATGCTTTAACAAGTTCGTGATATAGATGAACATGTACATGCCCTGACTGATGCAGATACAACCCATAAGTATGGATCATGTGATGCTTTAACAAGTTCGTGATATAGATGAACATGTACATGCCCTGACTGATGCAGATACAACCTAGCAAGTATGGATCATGTGATGCTTTAACAAGTTTTGCGATATAGATGAACATGTACATGCCCTGACTGATGCAGATACAACCTAGCAAGTATGGATCATGTGATGCTTTAACAAGTTCGTGATATAGATGAACATGTACATGCCCTGACTGATGCAGATACAACCCATAAGTATGGATCATGTGATGCTTTAACAAGTTCGTAATATAGATGAACATGTACATGCCCTGACTGATGCAGATACAACCTAGCAAGTATGGATCATGTGATGCTTTAACAAGTTTTGCGATATAGATGAACATGTACATGCCCTGACTGATGCAGATACAACCTAGCAAGTATGGATCATGTGATGCTTTAACAAGTTCGTGATATAGATGAACATGTACATGCCCTGACTGATGCAGATACAACCTGTAAGTATGGATCATGTGATGCTTTAACAAGTTCGTGATATAGATGAACATGTACATGCCCTGACTGATGCAGATACAATCTGTACAGACAAACAGCACACACGTAGTAAGTGTGAATTATGTTAAATCCGAAAATGAAGATTTAAGCACCTATTTTAGTACATTTCTTCCAGGTATGGACGCAAACATGCACTGTTGTCAGCTGTAGCGCTTCACCTTGGCTCGGGCATAGGAACAGCATTTTCCCCAAACTTCATGGCTTTTGTCATATTCAGGTTTTTCAATGGGGCCTCAAGCATTGCCCTTTTGATATCATCCTTTGTTTTCGGTTAGTTGATTCATAATGTATTTTTTACATCAACTGTAATGAAGGTAATTCCATGGATATATCAAAGGATACTATATATATGAGCATAGCTAAATAGTGTAGATCAGTGATTCCATATATAATGTCGATACATATTTGTTTATGTTACAATATACCTTTGAAGCCTCCTTTAATAGAACCATACCTTTAACCAGCTGATAACATGCTTTATATCCAAAAGTTATGGAACTCGTTGGTCCCTCCAAACGTACATTGGCTGGCATTATCAACAAGCTCTTCTGGTGTTTGGGCCTGTTCATGGTTGGAGGTCTCGCATACCTCATCCCAGACTGGCACCATCTTCAACTCGCCATCTCTGCACCTGTTGTCCTCCTCTTTGGATTTTACTGGTAAATGCCTCGATCGTTATTCCAGTATATACCGAAATGCTGTGAAACATACACCAGCAGCGGTGTCGTGTTGTACAATGATGTGGCACTACTTTAGCAGAAGTGCAACTAAAACTCAGGTTGACCTGCGCTACTGCGCAAATAACGTTAATGATTTATGGAAAGTCCATAAGTGCATATCTTTACATTCAGTTTCGTTCCCGAGTCTCCAAGATGGCTGTTGTCAAGAGGTCGTGAGAAGGAGGCAGAGAAGATTCTGCGACAAGCAGCACACGTGAATGGAAGTACTCTGCCAGACGTGTTGTTTGACCAGGACACTCTTGATAATGGCCCACCAGCTAAGATTACGGAGATGTTCAAATCACCAGTCCTACTTATTAGAACACTCATCATTTTCTTCAACTGGTGAGTCAGCGTTTAATTGTTATGGCTAATACCGGACTAATATAACGTGTCTCTGGTGCTACCTACTTCTTGTTAAATATACTAGCTCCAAATGGTACATAGATGTTATATTTGAGGAGGTCCAGCAGGTAATATATTGGTTGTTCAGTAAACCTCCCTTTTTCGACCTGAATCTTCAGAGATAGAGATGTAACTAGGTTTGTGGTCACCACGTTTAGTGGCAAATACCCCATGGATCAAGGAATTAAGTTTTGTTTAAGATTGTCGTGTGGGATAGTTACATACGCGTTGCAAAAAAAATCAAATGTCTTGACAGGATTGAACATGGTTCTTTCCTGCGATTGCAAAATATTCAGGCAAATCCTTAATTAATTCCCAAATACTTTCTGTGGATATATAAAGAAAGACCTTCCGTGATCGCATTAAAGCTTAGGATGCTCTTTGAGAGAGGTATTTGATGGTTGGTCGTCTGGTCCCTACAGTGTATTTCTCTTTATGAAAACACTCGGTGCCTAATAAATGTGAATTTCGATAGAAAGGAATGTCATAGTCTACGAGGGCTGGCTGAAAAGTTCTAAGCCTTAGTGGGATATCTCAATCGGATTGAAACAAATATTTGCCAACAACAAGTACAATCATTTAATGAATCATAGACATAAGAACTGCAACTGCAGTGTTATTATTGTCTTTGTACCAGACCATCTTGTGAACCTACACATTGAAATCACCAGAAATGGACAAACCTGGCTATAGGGCAGTCATCACGTACCTGCAGCTGAAAGGGCTAACTCCAACACAGATACATGCTGACATGGTCTCCACTTTAGGGAATGATGCCCCTTCCTTTTCCACTATAAAGAAGTGGGCTGCGGAATTCAAGCGTGGCAGAGAGAGCCTTGACGATGACCCGCGTCCAGGAAGGCCTTTAACAGCAACCATTCCGGGAAACATTACCCGGGTGCATGACATGGTGATGGCTGATCGACGATTGACCACTCCACATATTGCCAGTGTTGTGGGCATCTTTCATGAGAGGGTTGAGCACATTTTCACCAACGAGTTGGGAATGCAGAAGTTTCTGAAAGATGGGTGCCAAAGCTCTTGACAGCGGATCAGAAACGTGTAAGATTCCTGACGTCCCGTGACAATTTATGCCGTTTTGAAGCAGATCCAGCTGATCTTTTGGCCTGATTTGTAACCATGGATGAGACCTGGATTCATCACTTTCAACCAGAAACCAAAATTCAGTCTAAACAATGGAAGCATCCGGAATCACCAGCCCCCAACAAAAGCCAAGTCGGTTCCTTCTGCTGGAAAGGTGATGTCTTCAGTCTTTTGGGATTCCAAGGATATTCTGCTGAGCGACGGGGAATGCTCATTAAAGGAGTCCTGTTCCACCAAGACAATGCTCCTGTTCACAAATCGGTGTTTGCCATGTCAGCGATCCCTGATTGTATCTTCGAACTCATTGACCATCCCCCTTATTCACCCGATTTGGCCCCGTCAGACTCCCACCTGTTTCCCAAAATGAAAAAGGAACTAGCCGGTGGCCATTTTCCTAGTAATGATGACGTCATGTGAATGACTTTTTTAGGGAGGCTTAAGAAAATTTCTTCTTGACCGGCATCCAGGCCTTGCAGCATCGCTGGCAAAAAGTGTGTAAACCTGGAAGGGGACTGTGTGGAGAAATAAATGAAAACCATCGACTTGGTACGGGTCATTCACAGCTAGGCTTAGAACTTTTCAGCCAGCCCTCGTATAATAGGTCATGTAGGGGGACAATATTGAAACGAATATACATCGTTTGTTTTGATATTTTTGTAGTACAATATGATGCTAAATAGGTGCAATAATGCTGTAACACATTTTCAGATGTTATACCCATCCCAAGAATGTTTCATGGATATGCTCGTGAAACCATGCATTTCAGTCCCTTACGTTGGTCTATGTTATAGCGATGGGAATATCCGAGATATGTAATTGATACCCTAATTTCCAAATTGACATATGTTATCCAACACTTACAATAATGTATACAAACTTCTTCAAGAAGGGTTACCTAATTCAGTTTGGGGATGCAGGTGCAAAGTCAAGACTCGATTGTTTCCAGGCCACCGTCCTATGCCAGTATTGCTGCGCAACACTAGGCAACAAAATAGACACTTACTTTGTATGCAAACTGTCTGAGTTGCGGGAAGTGTTAAACTGGTTGTAAAGTTAACGCTCAGGATCATAACGTACGTAATAAAGAGTCTTAATAATGATTTAAATATAAAGTGTTAAAATGTAAAACTTCGTACGTGACTGAGTACGAATCCATGAGGGGAAGTAATGTGTGAAACGTATCGCAAAACTGAATAAGCCATGCTGGGAGGTGTCAAATTGTGAAACTTACGCCTTTGATCCCCCCCCCCCAAAAAAAACAAACAAACAACAAAAACAAAACAAACAAAACAACAACAAACAAACAAACAAACAAAACCAACCCAAAACAACAACAAAAACACATTACACCAGTAAATCTGAAATTACATAATGTTTATATCCTTAATGAATAGGTTATATTCATGTTTGTTGTTATTTCCTTTGTATGTACGTTAAATTGATATATTTACAGTGCTTTATTTGACAATGTGAACATTATACGTTTCCATGCAATGTGTGCCGTTAGATAACAATAGTTGTTTTCACAATAATGATATATATGTGGAGGGAGAAATCATACACCCATTCCAAAATGCCCCGATTAAGGCAACACCTCTATATTTAACAGGTTTGTGATCATCATGGTGTTCTACGGGCTAGCCCTGAACGTTGACGATCTTGTCGGTGACATCTTCCTCAACTACACCATTGGGAACATCGCGGAGGTCACGGCCATCGTCCTGTGTTTGTTTCTACTGGACAAACTAGGAAGAAAAGTTCTTCATTGTGGAAACATGTTGTTGGGGGGCACTGCCTGCCTTGCCACCATCGTCCCCATAATGTATGGAGGTCAAGGTCAGTGGCATATATACACGTGATTATCGCAAAACGGGTAAACGACTCGTTATTCAGTTTAACCAAAGAAGAAACTTACTTTTCAGAAGACGAATGGATCACAGCAACCCTGGCCATGATTGGAAGGTTTGGAGCAACTGATTGCATCATTTACATATTTTCTGCGGAACTGTTTCCAACGGTTGTACGAAACTCCGGAATCGGCAGCAGCTCCTTTTCAGGACGCGTTGGTGCCATAATCTCCCCTCATATTGTAAGCCTGGTAAGAAATTCTTGACAGCTTTGAAATTGGATGTAAATGATGTCATTGTACTGTTTCATCATCGAGATTATTTGATACGATTGGCTTGACATGCTGAGTGCTAGATGCTGACACGTCTACTGTTGCAGACCAGCAGGTTACATCTTAACATGGAGGTCATAGGAAACACATTTAAATAGAATGAAGAACCGTCGTCGGTGGTCAATTGATAAATCAATCCTTGGTTCATACACGGAAGTTATCGTTGGTTCCTTTTGAGTGCAGGGTTTGTTTACTGAAAAAACATGTTTGACTTATGATCTGACGAAAATTGTTTTTTATGTTACACGATGAATATTGATTTTCATTTCCGTCAGGTTTTGGTTTGTTGTTTAACGCCGCACTCAGCAATATTCCAGCTATATGACGGCGGTTTGTTAATTATCGAATCTGGACCAGATAATCCAGTGATTGACATCATAAGCATCGAGCCACGCAATTGGAATACGATGACATGCATCAACCAAGTCAGCGAGCCTGACCACCCGATCCCATTAGTCGCTTCTTACGGCAAGCATAGTCGCCTTTTACGGCAAGCATGGGTTGCTGAAGACCTATTCACCCCGGATCATTACATGTCCATTTCCATCAGGACGGAGATAGCAGAAGCTTATTCAGTGTTTTGTATGTGTTCGAAATGTGTTGTTTTGTCATGCATCTATAATTCATCTGTATCAAGGGTGCCGTGGTTGGCGGTGATTTCAGCAAAGCTGTCCCCCTCGCCGTGTTTGGCTCTCTGAGTGAGGTGGCGGGAATACTCGCCCTGTGGCTGCCAGAAACGATGCATAAAGAGCTACCAGAAAGTATCAACGATGCAAAACATTTTGGGAAGTGAGTTCAACAAATGAGTATGTGATATGACAAATCAAACATGTGATATGTGTGTCAGTCATGAATTTTATTTCTTGATGTGTGTGGAAACATTGTCATATTGCGTAATGCTCGTATTCATCAATATGTTGTGTTTGTGTCTCGTCTGAGCAGTGACGCAATTCCTCACAAGGCTAAAATGTGTGAAGCCCATTTCTGGTGTCCCCCGATATTGCTTGAATACTGCTTAAAGCGACGTTATTGTGTCAAGTGTCAAGTGACTGAAAACGACCATATTATTAAGGAGTAAGGAAGCTCCCAATTGTAATAAAGAAGGTGTTCATCCATATATCTTATCTTTAGTACTCCAACTTCTAAATGCCTCTCAAGGAACATATTATTAATGCCTCATCAGTCAGGTCACAAGAGAAAACATCAGATAGTTTCTTGTCATTAAACATCAGAGGAGAATATGATGATAGGTATTATTTCAATCAAATGTGTCAGTGCACAAATAATTGTCATAGCGATTTTTATATTCGTGCAAATATCACCGTGTGCCGAAAATGAGGCAATTTTTTTTACTTTTGTGCACAAATGTCAAAATACGTACATTGTATATATGATTAAATAGACATGCAATCTCAGTATACCATGTCGGCTTTTTGTAGTGTCCTCATTCCGAACGTGCTCGTACGTAAGTGGCATGTGTGTATTTGACTACACCTGATGTAACGTGTGTAACCTGTGATGTCGGAATAACGTCCGATGGGGCTTGAGACATTAAAATGAGTCGATACTCTGGAACACATATAAACAGAAACTATGTGTCATACGTATGATTTTGACTGTATTTCCAGTAAGATGTCCCATCACATGGACCACACGGATGAATCTAAAGTTCAGGGTGACAACCAAACATCCAGTGAACAAGGCTAAATGATGAAGAGCTGAACAAAGCTTTGTTTCATACTCAAGTATTTAATAATGTTAATATATTTAAAATGTAATCAATGGTTCATCTATATTGTTATAAAAGTGTGAACAATAACACAATTTCGAGAAACTTGCTATATTGTTGCTATTTGTCCAATTTCTGTGTGAGCACCTCATGACAAAATATCTCCATGTTAATATGTTTGCTTTTTTATGAGGTAGCGATAACATGTTCCCATTTTATGGGGTTTATTTCAATTAATAAAATCATTTATGATAATCTCGCTATGCATGTGTTTTTTTAGTAAAGAGATTGTATTTTTTCGCCACAGTCATCACTATTCCACCTAATGCGGCGGTAAAATATTCAAGCTTTGTCAATGAATAACGATCCACGCCGTCGAAATACGATGCCACACAATCTAAACATTGCTGTCCTCACAAGTCGGATCTATTTGTACCCGGAATCCCCAAGGGATTTCCACCCTTACATACTAGTATATATTCTTATGTGATATACATAAAAAAACCTTTAAAATATTACTCAAATAATTATTTCGCAATGATAATTGGGTATCCAAATATGTGCACAGATTTGCATCAGTCCTGGCTTCCCCCAACAGGCAAGCTGACACGCCATGATAAAACTAAAATAGTGTTGAAATCCACATTAACATAACCCATGTAATGTTTAATTAATCAAATGAAGAAGATAGTCAATAGTGCCCATATCAAATGATATGTCCCTCAAATGACAGAATACGCGTGTCAGAATTAGCGAGAATATGTCTAAGTAACCAAACACCAACACGTCCATGGATATAGAAGCGTTTTCATTTTACCCGCCAATAAATTTGTTATCTAAAATATACAATTATGTGGAAGTGCATGTTTTATTACACTAGAGTCAGATAATTCGGTTTCCTATATATAGGTGGATAGTGTGACGATCATACGATGTTGGCCGCCGCTGTCATAAATATTCCAACTATTTCACGGCGGCTTGTACATATTCGAGAGTTGGACAGTCAAACCAGTACGCAACGGTTCGCTTTCAGGCATAGTATTCAAAATAACGGCAATCAATGACAACATTAATATTGAGGGAGGCAGTGGTGATGTCCTTCCGGTTTCCAAACATCTCTTAAAACAACACATTCTGTCAGGCGTAGTACAATAGAGGGATAATCTGGACCATCAAACGGAAGGGGTGTTCAGTGTGGACCGCAATGGTAGCTTGTAGGGAACGGCTGAAACCAGTCTCTCAGATACGGCCGACCACCCGAGTAGGTCTGCAGCGTCTGCATGCCGCGTATTGCGGGTATTTAAAGGAATCCTATATCACAGGATCCATTCCGAGGCCTATAATAAATATTATTGCGCAGGGAATAAAAGTGGGAAAATATTGTTAAAGATCAGCAAACACTTTCAGACAGGTGATCTGCAATACTGATAAAACGGCGTGAAATAGAACAAGTCACTAACTATGTTTAACAAGATACATGTACTTTGATATCATCTAGTCGGGTGAGGCAACTCCCAGGACTTTCCTTGTTTACAGGGATCGTCACTACACCAGGTGAAACGATTTCCAGCATAGAGTGATCCCTACTCCCAGGGACCGCCTCCGTGGTCTTGTGGTAGAGCGTCCGCCCGGAGAGCGGAAGGTCCAGGGTTCGATCCCGGGCCGCGTCATACAAAAAGACGTTAAAAGATTGTACTTGTTGTTACCCTGTCTGGCGCTCGGCATTAAGGGGCTAAAACAAGGACTGGTCGGCTCGGAGTCAGTATACTGTGTCTGAGTGGGGTATTCATGTTAAACTGCGGCATGGTATCTCAGTGAGCTAGCACTATAAATTGGCATCAGTCCGGACTAGTACAAGCAGCCACACACACACATACACGTGCATGCACGTCGCTATATAAGTGCAATAATCTTGGACGCGACGTTAAACCCAATTTCACCTCACCTCACCTACTCCCAGGACGTTCCTTGTTTACAGGGACCGTCACTACACCAGGTGGAACGATTTCCAGCATAGAGTGAACCCTACTCCGAGGACGTTCCTTGTTTACAGGGACCGGCACTACACCAGGTGGAACGATTTCCAGCATAGAGTGAACCCTACTCCGAGGACGTTCCTTGTTAACAGGGACCGTCACTACACCAGGTGGAACGATTTCCAGCTTAGAGTGATCCCTACTCCGAGGACGTTCCTTGTTTACAGGGACCGTCACTACACCAGGTGGAACGATTTCCAGCATAGAGTGAACCCTACTCCGAGGACGTTCCTTGTTTACAGGGACCGTCACTACACCAGGTGGAACGATTTCCAGCTTAGAGTGATCCCTACTCCGAGGACGTTCCTTGTTTACAGGGACCGTCACTACACCAGGTGGAACGATTTCCAGCATAGAGTGAACCCTACTCCGAGGACGTTCCTTGTTTACAGGGACCGTCACTACACCAGGTGGAACGATTTCCAGCTTAGAGTGATCCCTACTCCCAGGAAGTTCATCCCCAGCTTTCCCCCGAGTTCCGCACCGCAAGGTCAAGGAGGGTGTCAGTCAATTTGCTGGGGAATCCTGACCTAAATGGGAAATTTGGATTAAAACAACTTTCGTAATACTTTTCACAGTAGAATTTGACATGGATGACATTTTCCTAATCTAATACTGGATCGACGTGAGAATTTCGTACAGAGAGTTAATCCGGACTTGCATGGACTCCCGAAATTGGTTTCAGAAAACGGTATCAAAACGAAACTGATGCTTTGTTTTCCGTTGAATGGATTGATATATATATCTGATTCTTGGGACTGTCTCGAAATCATCACCGAATGTAACGTCACCAAGAGAGACGTAGTCGATTCTGGGGCAAAAACAAATCATCGTCGGATTCGATCCTGTATAGAATGACGGCGACAATAACGACGTGAATGTCTTTATGCTCACCGGGCAGTTTTATACAGGGAAATCGTAGATTTATTCAAAGTCTTCGTTTGTTAGACAGCTGCATTTAGGAGAATGTTTCAATATGATTTGTTTGTTTGTTTGTTTTTGTTTAACGCAGCACTCAGCAATATTCCAGCTATATGACGGCGGTCTGTAAATAATCGAGTCTGGACCAGACAATCCAGTGATCCATGCAATTAGGATCGATGACATGCATCAACCAAGTCAGCGAGCCTGACCACCCGATCTCTTTAGTCGCCTCTTACGACAAGCATAGTCACCTTTTACGGCAAGCATTGGTTGCTGAAGACCTATTCTACCCCGGATCTTCACGGGTCGTTTCAATTTAAAAATGTCTATGGGTGTATTCAAGAATTTGACTTAAATGTAAGTATATTAGTTACTCACGTGACTAGCTGGTGTTGACTTCGGTTTAACTTGGTTGGTTCGAAAATTGAACTCGTACGTGTTTGAGTTTATTCCCCTTCTGTCAGAAGGCTTCGAACGATTATTAAGATATTGAGAAGCGTTCGTAAAATATGCGTGCTTTCTCCAAGTTGGTCACACCCATCCTCAGTACCGGGATGCTACATAATGTCAAGACATACCGCAGTAAATTGAGAGGTTCGTGGCCTCAACATGTATATGAAGAATCTTGGAAGGCATAACATCAAGTTCGACTTATTGCTACATTTGTTTTCGTGTATGCAAATTGAGAGTGAGTATGGTTTTACGCCGCTTTTAGCACTATTCCAGCCAATCCACTGCGGGGGACACCAGACATTGGCTTCAAACATTGTACCCATGTGTGGAATTGAACCCGGGTCTTCGGCGTGACGAGCGAAGTTGCTGTGGTGACAGAGACTGCGAAAAATGAGCAGTGAGAAAGTACCTGCTTAAAACGGACATGTCGCAAAGAGAAATGCACAAAGCTATGAAGCGCACGTCTGTCCTGTATATTCAACCTGTTAAGACAGCGAGGCGGAAGTAGCACAAAATATTACACTTGGTCTGGTCGTCCAAAAGGAGTCACGTCTGAAACACAAGAGGATGGCTGTCCACAGTATGGTTTAAGCTGACCGAGGTGTCACAGATCAGTATATCGCTGACAGTAGTGGGTTCACATTGGTGTCAGTACATTCCATCTTTACTGACACACTCCACATGAGCGACGCGTAACCAAGATAGGTACCTAGGCTCAACATATCCAGGTATCCTTGACCAGTTGTAAGCGAACTGTAACCCAGGACGGGACCTGGGTCTATCACCGAGTCACATAATGCCAGAGTAAAAAGTGAACACATTTTGCCTCATCCCCCATCAAAGAAATATAAGCGGGGGCGTCAGCTGGCAAAGTCATGGCTTCAGTTTTCTGTGACAATGGGGGGTTAATAACGATGGACTTTTTGCTACGAGATCGGAATGCTTCGTGTTAACCTTTTCGAGACTGCATGAAAACGCATTCGAACTTACGCTTTCGCGATCACCCGTGAAGATCCGAGTTAGAAAAGGTCAACCCATGCTTGCCGTAAGAGGCGAATATGCACATCGTAATAGGCAACTAACGAGGTCGAGTGGTCAGACTCGCTGACTTGGTCGATGCATGTCATCGTATCCCAAATGAGTAGATCGATGCTCAAGATGTCAATCACTGGATTGTCTGGTCTAGACTCGATTATTTGCAGATCGCCGCCAATAGCTGAACAAGAAACAAACACGTTCGCAACCTCGTAAGCGACGCTCTGAGTGGTTGGGAGAAGGATCGTTCTGACTTAACCTGTAATGCGATGTCCACAGATGTGTAGCTGTAAAGAGCACAAGATCTGATTTTATGAGATTTTATGAGATTGAAGATTGATATTGTTACAGAATTCATATTGATTTTACATAAATTTATTGATCATTGAAGTTCATTTGTACCACATTTGTTACAGTATTGAAGGAAATACTGACAATTAATTAAGTTAGCGAGTGAACGTTGTTCAACCTCCAGTCAGAATTCGAGCTACATCACGACGCCATGTAAAAAATCGTGTTCAAGATAAAGTGTCATGCACACAACCACTAGTCTTCCTGTCAGCCATGTTGCAAATCAAACCGCGCGGTCCTCAATTGCTGTCTTATAAAGAACGAGCCAAACTATTTTCTGTGACTCTCAACACATTATTTTTCAGATCAAGCATGTCCAGTGGGGTCACGCGGTTTTCTAGCACTTACCGTTTTCAAAGGTGACGGTATTGTTCAGATATTGTGAAGGTCAGTGGGATGTGATGCGATGCAGTGACATGTATTCCGTTATCAAGTCCATGTTTAATATCTCTAGTTACAACAAAACGAGCGTACCGTTCCAATTCTCCCAGCTCAGTGATTACAACATACCACTCATCCGCACTGGGATGAAGTGTGTCACTGAAACAATATCATGTAAGTTCCAAGACCTTGAGTGACACAAGAGCATGAGACTCACACCAGCAGCCATCCGTAAGTCTTGTAACATGTGGCATGTTTGTGTAATGCGTCTTGTAGTGCAACACTTGTTGACGACATTCTTCATCTTAGTATATAATACAGAACCAATACATCTGTAGTCACAACACCTGCAGTACGCCAATGGTCATTGCATTAGCATTGCATCAATAATCACGACATCTGCAGTACGCCAATGGTCATTGCATTAGCATTGCATCAATAATCACGACATCTGCAGTACGTCAATGTCATTGCATTAGCATTGCATCAATAATCACGACACCTGCAGTACGTCAATGTCATTGCATTAGCATTGCATCAATAATCACGACATCTGCAGTACGCCAATGGTCATTGCAATAGCATTGCATCAATAATCACGACATCTGCAGTACGCCAATGGTCATTGCATTAGCATTGCATCAATAATCATGACATCTGCAGTACGTCAATGGTCATTGCATTAGCATTGCATCAATAATCACGACACCTGCAGTACGTCAATGGTCATTGCAATAGCATTGCATCAATAATCACGACATCTGCAGTACGCCAATGGTCATTGCATTAGCATTGCATCAATAATCACGACATCTGCAGTACGTCAATGGTCATTGCATTAGCATTGCATCAATAATCACGACACCTGCAGTACACGACACGCTATTTTTTAGAGTGAGTGAGTGAGTTGGGTTTAACTCCGCTTTTAACAGTATTCCAGTTATATCGCGGCGTGTCAGCTTAATGTGGGAGGAAAAGCCTGAAGTGATGCAGGTCTCAGACGTTTACCACTTCGGTGAATCCCACGAGCACGGGTATGGTGCTGACAAACCTAGAAACATATTCGGGGAGAACCGGGATTCGAACCCACAAGCATAGGTTTCTGGCGTGCCCAAGGGACGAAACTCTGCACAGCGAATCGCGACGCCTCAGACGACTGGGCCACCCGTGACCCCACTATTTTTAGAATGATGTTATGTCCATTATGTTCGAATGTACGTTGTGAATGCCTTTGTTTGCGTCGTGACATTGAGAACATGCAGATATGAGATCATTATTCATCCGTGTCTTTGTCGCGACATATACTGAGTGAGCTGCGTGTAACCTTGGCGATTTCTAACATGTTTAAGTCAAAATGTGGGTCTTTTCGAACAATCAACAGTCGCTGCTCTTTTTCAACAGCTTCATTAAGATACTTAAGATCCGGGGTAGAATAGGTCTTCAGCAACCCATGCTTGCCGTAAAAGGCGACTATGCTTGCCGTAAGAGGCGACGAACGAGATCGGGTGGTCAGGCTCGCTGACTTGGTTTGATGCATGTCATCGATCCCAACTGCGTGGATCGATGCTCATGATATCAATCACTAGATTGTCTGGTCCACACTCGATTATTTACAGACCGCCGTCATATAGCTGGAATATTGCTGAGTGCGGGGTTAAACAACAAACCAAATCATTAAGACACACGTCTAGTATGGTAAACGAGTTCGATATGTTTCGAAGATGGAATAAGGTCATTAATAGATTATCAAGGACAACTAGCTATATCGTGCTCCCTACATCGCTCAGCGTGTTTAATGCCAGTACGTAATCCAGCACAAGGGCTTGTCGCACTTGGGAGAACATAGAAAACTGGTCCCAGGACAACAAATTCGGCGAATGGCAGGTATAATACCACTTGTTGAACTGTCTGGTTCCTAACGCATTTAACGATCTGGTTGTGGACTGTAACATAGAAGAACATGTAATTGACTCGGAGCACTGTGCAGCAATGTTTTCCTGTGCAATGGTCACTTCCAATACCTTGGGTGAGTGAGTGCTTGAGTTTGGTTTAACATAGGCTTAAACGGTATTTCAGTTATATCACGGCGTGTCAGCATGATGTGGTAGGGAGACCCGAAGTGATGTCAAATAACGGGATGTTGACAGGCTATTTACATACAACGTTGCGTGGTCACTCTACTCTGTGTTTCTTCAGATGGCAAGCTACTCCGCTTAGGCGACAACAGTACCATTCACAGTGGAGACAAACAATCAGTGATGAAGACAAGTGCATGGTACTGATCACATGTACACATATGGTGGTCATCTATCCTACTTTTAATAATTTCTCGAGCAATCACCTGGGCGAAGAGTTGACTATTCTGGACACAGAAAAGCTCAATGCATTGTGTGTTTCTGCTTTCAGCCTAAATACTTTATGTTCTGATCTGTACCAGGTACCAAATACACACGCTTAGAGACATACTTTTCTGATTTATTTAAGTGATCTATTTCTCACGTGTCTCATTGTCACTCCCGTTCCTGTTCAGTCATACAAACAAACTGATGTTATTTTACGATTCTGATGTCTGCCACAGTTGCCGATTTATGCCTGCCTGCACCAGTTTGGTGAGAAAATAGTATTTTCCGATTCAATCAATGCGGACAAACGGATACACAAGACTTTCTTCCAGCACAGAGACTAGCCGGTGTTTATTATGGGGCTGACGAGTCAATTAGGTAATAACAGCGACCACCACATCAAAACAAACAGCTGCGCAGCGAATGCCGTCAGTTTAGGCGAGCAGACGAGATGAGCGGATATCGTCTGCTTCAGTTCTGCTAACTCCGTGCACGTGGCGGAATATGGACGATAAAGCACACGGCCCCCGCTACGGCAATGGGGGGAAGGATGTCAACATAGCTGTACTGGGACTACGTGGTGTCGGCAAGTCAGGTAGGTGGCGTAATGCAATCTTATAATCTGTTACCATGTCTGCACTTAGATGCAAAATCTGATCTGTAGTGCAATTCGATGTCAATGATACCATTTTGTCAGAAAAACCAAATCTCTTACATGTTCTTTGACTTTTATTAAAAGCATTATATTTTAAGATGCTATCTACTAAAAATAATAAAACGAATTCACCTGCGTAAATCATGTCTTATGATGTACCATGCTTTGGCCCCTGTTCAAATGATAAGAGAAGCTATTGTTAGATGCATAGACGTATCGGAAAGAGTTGATGAAACGTTTAGGCTTTTCTAGAACCAGCAATTACAAAACAAGACTATTGTGTAGAGCGATTCAACAGGTGACATTCTCAGTAGGAGGGTACGCAACCAGCAAATAATTATATCGAAAGCAGGACCCTGAAGGTCTATTATCGTATGTCCAAAAGATGCAGCAGTACTGAACTGACGAACAAAAGAAAGTATACACTTGACAGTTGTTATTATACGTCAGTAGACTGAAACAGGCGCCGAAACACTGCAAACGTTAGGTCCAAAACACAACTATAATACCCGTATCAAATCTTAGCTACCATCAATCATGGGTTTCTTTTACCTGGTAGGTTATCGTACGTAATATTGTAATGACACTACGGACATTCATTGTACATCCCATATATCTACCCTGTGTTCGTGTGAAAACATTTCCCACTATGGAAATAACTTAAAAAGGAAGTGTCACGATACAGATTGGGAGATATTGATCCTATTTCCGTTGAACGTAAAATGATAGTGTTATTATGGTAGTCGTCATCAACATAGTCATACCCTGAAGTGAAAGGTGCCTTTTTCTGATGCTATGTGATCATTTTCCATCTCCTGTAGTATATACAAACAACAATCGATAAAAGTTTGCTTTGTAAGACAGCCTGCACATGAAACACTCATTACATCGGTGGGCGACTGGAGGGAGTATTTATTGGAGGTAGTGAACCATGTTCTTTCTCCTAATAGGCCCGGCCATTACCATATACGAGAACTTTCCAAGCAGAAGATTGTATCAGCGTCACACACTTGTCTCTAAGGACTCTGTGAACAGATTCATATTGGACGATGAATAGAACATTAATCATTCATTGCTGTTCTGGTATATCTGGTAAGTCCCCTGAGGTCGAGAGCGGAAGACTTCATCTACTAAACTAACTATGAAAAGATCGCCCCATGTCACGACTGATGTGGCCCTTGCTTAGTATTAACTGCCTCCTTGGCAGCAAGTCTCTTATAGCCATTTATCGTAAAGGGCAGCTGAGATTGGATTGTGGTCTTGTTTGCATCTGCGTCTTACTGTTCCAGGTGAACTCTCTTAGACCATTAGAGCGTGTATATAGCATGATTGACGGCCCCTGTCACGATGCTCAAGTAGGAGTGTGGTTTATGCCGACATGGCCATTATTCAGCCACATCACAGTGGCTTGTGATAGCTGAGCCAACGAAGGCCAGCTGATGTTGTAAGCCGTCTGGGTATGATGGCACACTAAGTCGGTCACTCTTCCTAATTACTGTTTTACAGATTAGAAAAAAGTATGCAGCACAGAGGGTTTGGGGGGTCCTGGACCAGTCAGGCAGGTTAGGCTCATCATCAGCGCGGGGTCCTTGACCCATCTACATGCAGCCCAGACATGGAGTGGGACTTCTCCCAGGAAGCGCTGCCTTGTCGAACCCACCCAGAACTTTTCGAAGAATGTGAAGATTTCCCATCACTGCAGCCTTCTGCATTACCCAGTTTGTCAGAAGGGCTGTATTCCTGGAAGCAAATCCGGGTACTCTCCCAGTGTCAGTCAACAGACTGGGAGGCACCAAACCTAAGGCACCGAGAACGATTATGAGTCGGACAACTTGGCACTTGGGATGCACGCGTGACATTTCGAAAGCGAGGTCCGCATACTTGCCATTATTATTAGTATGTACAGATTAAAATACAAAATGCAGCAAAGGGTGTTTGGGTGATCCTGGCACAGTCAGGCTGGTTAGGATCATCACCAGCTCAGAGCCCTTGTCCTCTACACGTAGCCCAGACAGCGAATTTGACTTCTCCAGGGAAGCGCTGCCTAGTCGAACCCACCCAGAACCTTTCGGAGAATGTGACGACTCCCCAACACTGCAGCCTTCTACATTACCCAGATTGCCAGAAGGGCTGTATTCCTTGTAGCAAACCCGGGTACTCTCCCAGTGTCAGTCAACAGATTATTATTATTAGTAGTAGTAGTAGTATAGTCGCTGTATTCCCATTTAATAGTCTATATTTCAAAGTTTCTAAGTATCAGTTGCCTTCTGTTTTCCGCAGCAGCCTGGGTGATACATATGCTCTTTAGCCATCATTAAACTTTATTGTTAAAATTTATTATTTGTCACAATATAGATTTCATTTAAAGTCGCATTTCCTCACCCGGTGAGTCGATACGATCTAATGTAGTTTGACACTGCAGACATGTTATGAACAGGCAACCCACTTGTTTGAATGGCTGTTTCAACTTGGTCGTTAACTAAGCCTGAAGGCCTAGAGTTTAAACGCCAGCAAGGGTGCTAAGGTGTGCCATCCTTAAGTTGCTTTAAGTCATTGTTCCATTGCTTATTCATTTCTCCAAACGTATCACGCTGAATAATTTCTAAAATCTCTGAGGGATTTCTCAGAATAGATATGTTTCCACAATCAAAAACTGAATCAACAGAAACAGGTGTATTGTTCTTTCTCGACCATCTGTTTGTTCTTTATGCATTAAATAGTCAAAATAAACATTCGCAGGTACCCAACCAAGTAGACCGTTATACGATTTACTAACAGTGTGTTGAAGAAGATCTCTATTTGTTCACATTGACACTTTCATAGCTTATAAAAATTCTTCTGTTTTTCTCTCTGCACATTTGATGAGTTAGGCTGACTGTCCCACGCTATTACCCATCTTTACAGTATTGCGCTAGTCTTGCCTGGATTACTGGTACGGGAAACTCTCAAACACACGAGAATCAGAATCAGATGTGGCCCCTACATCTGACAGTTGGCGGCAGGAATTAATTCCCAGCATTAGATATACTCTGGATGTTACTGTCGGTAGGGAGCATCGCTCGAGATGGAACTATCGAAGGCGTTCGTGCGTGTGCTTGAGCTTTGAAATTAACTGACATTATATAAGATGGACGTAGAAGGATGCTATGGAGGCTATGTGTAGTTAAATAGATTTTCACGTTTGAGATTACGGAACTTAAACTATGGCTTAAGTTTCTCTGATGTAATAAGTATAACATAAACAGCAATAATTAAATGTCACCACATGACACCACGTGTCCTGTCATGTGTCCAAGCACTGGACATTTCCACAAGCAGGTGATTATGGCCATGAGCACAACCTTATCATCTAGAGTACACAACCTCTGTGCATGAAACGCCACGCACAGCCACGAGGTATGGGATACTGTAATTATATGTATAATCTACTCTCGTGAATAGCTAGTTTTAAAACTTAAGATCGATAAGTGCTTCACGGTTTTATTTGATCACGAATAGACAGTCATCTGCGACTATATCAACGTTACGTAAGATGATGTTTTCGCAATGTTACATTGTAGTTTGGCATGGTTCGGATGGCACAGCCATCACATAGGTGGCACCACTCAAGACACAGTCGTCTTCAGCGGCCCAAGTCTTTATGCAGGGACGTGTTCCTAAGATTGCCAGGATCCTATTAACGTGGGTTCGAATCCATTATTCTCCCTGATCATGAACCTGGGTTTATAAGCTCCGTTCTCGCGGGTATCACTACAAATGATAATTTACAAGTGTTGCTCCGGTCTTTGCTTTCACATTCAGCTGGAAGTTACACAACTGAAATACTGCTGGGGAATGTCTCCCACCTCGCTCACTCACTCACTCACTCATTCACCATCTACCTGCCTGTAATATATGTGTTCAGTGTTCTTCTGGTGCCTACGTATGCCTATTGATGAACACTTGTTTACTCATTTCATGACGAGACATAACACGAATAGCTCTCAAACGTCTTGATCATTGCATATCAATAACGAACTGTGGAAATATTCTGTATTTGCACCAGATAGCAAGTTCCTCATTCAAATAAAAAGATCCATCATTGGCGACGGTACAACAATGACAATAGCTCAATTCGTGCAAAGAATTGTTAGTTTGTTGTTGGAACTCAACAACACACTTCGCACCTTGTCATCAGATTTGACAAGTTTAATGATTTGGTTGGTTGGTTGGTTTGGTTGGTTTGTTGTTAAACGCCGCACTCAGCAATATTCCAGCTATATGGCGGCGGTCTGTAAATAATCGAGTCTTGACAAGAGAATCCAGTGATTAATATCATGACAAGTTTATTGAACCATCCCTGAATCAACCAGTGACATTGCGGTTTCCATCGAATCCTAGCTCCATGTTGTATTGGTGCGAGGCTTTGATGTGTACATGAAAATGAGAATGTATGTATTTTTGTTCGCGGCGTAGGTCATGCAGTGTCTTATGTAGGGCTTGGAATAGACACCCATGTGAAGAACGATAACAGGTGTGTAGCTATAATGAAAGTAACCCGGGCCTCAATCGACATGCTTTTATCACAGAGCTCGTTACTTACGCCGAGCGTTATCATGACATCTATAGAGGCAGGAACAATTAACAGTTGAAAGACAATCGTTCCTTCTTATGAACTTTGGTCGGAGAAAACTCAACTGGTCTTTCCTTTAAAGCTGTTGTGAATCCGTCTTTGAATTGAATTTGAATTTGTTGACATCCATCTTCGTCTCGTTGGTGGTATTATTATTATTATTATTATTATTATTATTATTATTGAGCAAATGTGTACGTGATGAAGAATTTTCGCCACGTTTAGCAATTGTCCAGTATTCCCAAGGCTAGAGACGCAACAAAGAAAGACTTCACCTGTGTAGTACCCATGTAGGAATCAAAACCTGATTTCTACGCGAGCATTCGAA